AATTTAATCTCCTTTTGTTGTCATTCTTTTTTACTGTATCCCAATTCTCTTTGGAACAGATTTGAAAGATAGGCAGGGATCAGAGGCTGCCAACAGGTAGAGAGGGAACCAGGCAAAGGAACAAGGAGTGGCAGGGAAATGATGCATCTCCTAAGGGAAAGGAGCTAGAGATGAAAATGAGGGGAAAATGCAGAGTGGAAAGGGACTGTGCTTTCTTACTTGCAACACGTGGCAGTGTAGGTAGAACTCAGAGGAAGGGGGACAACATGCATCCTGATGGAGGTGGAGTCCAGAGAGAGAAGCAGCAAAACCAGATGATTAATACGTTCAGAACTGACCAAAATCCCAGGGCTCCAGATCTATCCTGAAAGTGCTAAGAGTAAGGAATGGACACCAAGTCTGTATTTGGAGACATCTGTCTGTGGCATGCTTTTAGCTTCATTGCAGGGCTTGATTAATCGATCTGCTGGAACTATTCCACGCTTCAGTACAGTCGAAATTCTATTTTCTGAGCCACAGTTAATTGAGGCTCTCAGTTACCTGAAGGATGAATATCTCCTCAGAGTTATGACTTCAGCACATAAGTACCGCTAAGACTTTGGTGCATAAATCTTTAAACACTGATGAACTAATGTCTTGGGGCCAAATCCAGCACCAGTGTTCTGTAAATCTTTACTCCTAATGGTTTCTGTGAGATTTATATGAAAATGCTGAAGCCAGATTTGCAGCACATTTATTGAATGTTGTCCATAGTTGCAAAGGCAAAGAAGATTTTGGTGTTTACTCACCAGAGAGGAAGAATTACATTTAAAAAGGTATTGCCCAAAAATTCATGTCAATTTTCATCAACGCATCCTCGTATCTACTCTTTGTTAAAGCAGATACATGTCTGATTCTCCCAGTCTTAAGGAAGAACACGGTAGCTACAATGATGTGCCAATGAAATTAATATAAAAAGTCATGAAGAATGGTTACTTACGTAAGTACTGTTTGGGTAAGAATGGTCTGAGGAAAGAGAATATCACAAGCAGTAGAGCTTACAGTCAGGGAGTGGCAGGTGCCCTCCACTTCAGAGTTGTCTGCTGCTCTCAGTCCTGTCGCCTGGAGGGACCCAAGTGTCCTACTACATACGTGCCTCCTCTGTCCGCAGTTATTCTTTCAAATTAAAAGTAATTATGACATGTAATGTAGGGTTACAGATGTACCTAAGGCATTTCTTAGAAATATGAACATGCATGTTATAAAACTAAATACTAATAAATTCTTCAAATATGAATTTGTAAAATAACACTGTGCCCTAGTTTTTTAACTGGCAGAATCATAGAATCATTTAGGTTGGAAAAGACCTTTAAGATCATCAAGTCCAACTGTTAACGTAACACTGCCATCCCACCCCTAAACCAGGCACTAAGAATAAGGAACTTCCTGCAGTAGTTCAAGTTCACCTGCGCTGAATCAAGTAGCTGACACAACTTACAGCCTCAGGCCATCACTAATCAGGAGAATTGTCTCATGGAGGCTTTTTTGTTTGGGTTTTTCTTTTATTAGCACTTCAGAGTCGATTCAGAGTATTTTGACAAGGTCTCGTTATACCCATCCAGAGGCTGAGAGTCTGAGTAATTCTGCTGGGGCAGAGGGAATAGAGACAATCTGGGAGAGACTTTTTGAAGCAGAGTTTGGCTTGGCAGCAGGGAAACAGGCAGAAAGCCACTGCAAAGGAGAGCTTTGAGAAAAACGAACCAGGCAGTGCTCAAGAACTTAATCAGGTATGAATATGACATGCACTGATGTCTCCCCTGCAGCGCTTGCGTGTGACAAATCTGCCACTATTTCTTGGTCTCTCACCAACCCATTTCCTGATCACTTGCCTCTTGTCTTCCTGGGCTGTATCACCTGCAAAACAGAATGTGAGTATGGAAGCGCTCCCCCTGTGCAAAAGGGTCTTGCGCATGAAGTGGAGCAGTCTGGGATTTATGTCCTTTCTTCTTGGCCTGGTGCATCAGGTCTATCTGTATCTTACGTCAACCTAGGCGATGGCTAACATCCATTTCAGAGTTGATATTCTAAAATATAAAAGTATAATCTTTGTGTTGTTACAATCTTATTTTCTTGCAGACCTAACTCGGAGTCCTGCCCTGATCCTCTGAACCAGACTTCTGTAGAGAAACACGGTCCTTCATACACTTCCCCGGGTTCGGGCTGTGCTTGTTTGCTGTAGGTGGAGGGGCTCTTGGCCCCAGCATTGCCAGCAGCGTTACCTGCGCAGGCAGTGCAGTCAGGGAAAGAAAGGGCTGCGTGTTCCCCCGAGACCCGTATGTGGTTTTCGTAGACTTGCCTTTTTTCTTCTATCAGCAAGCTGGAAAAGAAGGTCCTACTGGAGAAAGAGGGAAAATTTCTGTGCTGGCTTAGCCCAGACTTCCTAATAACATTGTATTAGAGGAACTATTTCTACTTTAGCTGCTTGAAATGTAATTTGATGATGATGGAAAGTATTTTCATAGCTTTCAGTTTAGAAGCTTCCTGTTTTCTACAAAATGACACAGTGTGAGCAGCCTTAGTACGAGCATGGCCATCCGTGTGCAGCCTCCAGGACTTGTTTGCTTTCTGCTGAGACAATTGCATAGGTAGCAGATGTGTTTCTGGTTTTCAGGAAGCCTCTGCCCATCCCACTGTAACTACCTCAGCGATGAATGTCATTTGTTTCCCTCAGGAGACTGAATAGCTATTGTACATTCAGAGCTTTTTGGTCGGTATTACTGTAAGTCCATTAAAAGTCTTGCATCACCACGTTCAATTATCTACTTGAGGCTTTTCACAAATCCTCATCTCTTACTGGATCCAGTCTTGGCCTTCTGTTTGGATGCTTCTCCCACTAATGTCCTGCAACTACTTTTCAGCTTGGTCCTTTTATTGTGAATTGCTGCCCAATAACACTTTTCTCCTTCATTTACCTCTTGAGACCTCCTTGTGCTGTATTGCCTACCAGGCACCAGCCAGCCCAGTACGGCTGGGAATTAAGATGCTTGGGAACAGCTGCAATTTTAATTGTTTTGTAAATGCTCAAGTGACTTGTAACCGTTACATTGTGCAGTCCCCAGCTTGTGCAGTGATGTGCTGTAGCTTGTTGTAGTCTCCCTAGGTATTCTCCATTCCCTTCTGGGTCTTACTGTGTATTTTTTGTTTTATTTTGAATTAAATGTTTTACAGGAGGAGCTATGATTTATGGATTTGCTTAGTGCCTAGCACAGTGAAACTGGTTTATATTTGGGCTACCACAGTTCGGCATCTGCCCTGTCTTGGGATGCTTTTAATCAGCAGGCAGCCTGTGAGGACTCTTTCAAGCATATCGTAAGAAGGAAGTTCCCATCAAGGCTGGGCTGACTGGGCACATGACAGCAGAAGGCAAATATTGAGACAGTGTCAGCGCATTGGTGCTTGTCTCCCTGCAGTTGTGGTGAAAGGCTTAGGATGCAAAAGTCGTCAACAGTGGTCTTGCAGTGGGTTAACTTCTATTGTAGATGTTGTCCAAGACCTGGTCTAGATTCAATTATTAGGCTTCTAGTGTAGTGACTAGATATTTTGCAAAGTGTAAAAAAGAAATAGAGAATAAATAGGTAATTATTAAGTATCTGGTGTAGAACTAGGGAAGAGAAATCTTCATTGCACAGAGGAAATGGTGTGGGGTAGAACAGGATGTGGTTTGCTGGATATATTGTGTGAGACTTTGGCTTTGGTGGGCAGGTGTAAGGCAACAGAAATAACTGGTGAAGGGGACCCTTGGAGTAAGAAGGGAGACACTGAGAGGGAAGGACCTTCTGTGCATTTGATTCCACTTTGCAAAGAGATTTTAAAAATTACAAGGAAAACCTTGCAGATAATACTGCATGCTGTGGATGCTCCCAGCTAACAGTTCAAATACATTTCATGTGAAGCTGTAGAGCAGAGCAAAGAAGTTAAATAGTGCCTGATGAAGAGTCCAGAGAAACCCAACTCGAAAGAGTAAGTTTCTAAGAATGAAAGAGGTCAAATTCACCCTGTGGTGTAAATCTGTAAGGCTTCAGTAAAATTATGTTTAAAATTAGGTGGGGCTAGGGACTGTAGCATGGCAGAGCAATGCTTAGGACCTTGTAAATCTCTAGAAAAAGTGTGAAAACGAATAGTGCTGCAACAGTTCAGTGATAACCAAATTATGCCCTTTCAAAACCTCTTCACCAAGTTTCTTCCTGTAGAGACAATTGGAGTTTGTTCTCGTTTCCTATTTATCATGGCTAACCACCTCTCTCTATGCTCAGCTGTTCCTTTTTATTCTCCTCCTTTGTGTTTTGCTGTCCTGAAGCCAAATCTGAATGGATTTCAATGGCTCTCTTGTGCTTTTTGACTTGGTATCAGGCAGTCTGACTCCATAAGAAAATTATTTTCTAAATCCTAGCCATACAATGCGTGATTTCTTTAACAGAAGAAAATACAGTTCAGCTGAATAAGGGGTGCAAGATGTCGTGTCTGAAAGTATAAAACCTCTGAAGCTTTCTCCTCCAGTTCCCTTTCTGTAGCTCCCATCACGGCTCAGTTTTTCACTACAGTAAACATTTTGGGTATAGAGACTGTAGGTGACAGCTGGAAGGGCCCAGGTTTTCAATGCTGTGTTCATCTAATCTATTCCATATTAGAACAGAGAAGTAGGGGACAGTGCTGTTCCTTGAAAAGAGCGAAAAGGTGGTGTGCGCTCCTGTGAGATGACTGTATTTTTCTACTGACTTGCAACCAGTAAGTTCTTTGGCAGCCTCACCCCTGGCAAAGCCCTTGTACCTATCAGCTCCCTCCTTATCACTAAGGCAATACCAGCTGCATCCCACTTCTCGGGCAGAGCAGTATACGTTGTCTGGGTCCATTCTGAGACTCAGAGCCCGGTAAGGTGTTGCCTTTCCCCAGGACTTAAAATGTGCTGTGGTAAAAACGAGACGATTTAAAATTCACTTCTTTCTCAGATTTGTCCTTTGTGGATGTTAGCAGTTCATGCGTGTTGCCATCTGGGGGATAAGGACTTGCGGACACCCTCATTGACCGGCTACTTCTGTGAGGTGATGTTCACAGCCGCCTGGGAGTTTGTGGTCAACTTTAACTGGAAGTTCCCGGGTGTTACCAGCGTGTGGGCGCTCTTCATCTATGGCACCTCCATCCTCATTGTGGAGAAGATGTATCTCTATCTCAAAGACAAGTGTAACATTTTAGTGCGCTGCTTCATTTACACGCTTTGGACATACCTCTGGGAGTTCACCACCGGCCTCATCCTACGCCAGTTCAATGCCTGCCCATGGGACTATTCCCAGTTTGATTTTGACTTCATGGGCCTGATCACCCTGGAGTATGCCATCCCATGGTTTTGTGCTTCTTTCATCATGGAGCAGCTGGTGATCAGAAACACCCTGCGTTTACGATTTGATGAGACTGCTGAGCCAGGGGCCCCCACTGTCCCCGTTGCCTTGGCTAATGGCCATGTGAAGACTGATTGAGCAGTGACTCAGAACCACACTTAGCAATCTGAGAGAGCCCAGGCCTTTACCACAGACTGTCAGCTCTGGCTCTGAGGTACTGCTCCTTGCTGTATGATAAGATTCATAAACCCCATTTTTCTAATGGGGGTGTGCATGGGATATACCAGAAAAAAACGGAACCAATAGATTTTCTATGGATTTTACTCTTTGGGCTCCAAGGACCAATATCAGTTACTTGTTAGTTAGGTCATTTCTGGTTTTAACTTATTACAGATGAAAGCAGTCCTTTTGCTTACTCTTTTATGTGGAGAAAGAAGAAAAAGAAATGCTATGGTGGAAATGCATACAAAAAGAAAAAATCTTAATGAGCGGATGGGCATGGACACGCCAGCTAAGTTAGTGATTGGCTTACTCCATTAGGCAATATTCAGGTGCTTGCTTGCAACCAATACCTCCCGTGGGACCTGAGATGCTGCAGGAACAAGGAAAATCCATCTGCTGTTGCGAAGAACCTAAGATTGGCAGTCTGCTGGGGAGGTAGATGGTGTTCCCCTTGCGAGGTCCCATTGGCCTCTCCCCAGGTTCTCTGTTGCACCACGAAATAATCTGGTGCTGGACATCTTGCTGAATTTATATAGATCTTGTACTTTTTGAAATCTCAGTCCTGATACTCACTAGAAATTTTTTCTTTTTTTCTTTTTTCTTTTTTTTTGTTTTTAATAAAGGCCTTTTTTGCCAAGTGAATTTTACTATAATCTGTGCAATCTGAATCTTGGCAAAAGGCGCAAGAAATAGTGTAAGTCTTCCCATCTCCTCTGTCCCCTCAAAGCAGACCTTGCCTGAAGGGCTGCTGCAGATTCCAGCTCCCATCTCAGCTGTGCAAACCTTGTAGAGACTGTACAGGCCACAAGAGTTTTCTGCCTTCCTTACCAGGGATTCCTCTGTTTCTGGTGATGTTGGTGACTTAGTCTGGCTGCAACCCACTGTATTTGCAGGTCAAAACCTTCTTGTGGCTAACATGGTATCCAAGATTTGGTCCTCTGGCACTGACTCTCGCCTTCCTTCAGCACTGGCAGGTCTTGGCTCTGTTCTGCCCAACGTTCTCAGTGTATCAAAAGGATTTGCTTTTTCTTCCCAAGTTCTGCTTTAAATAACCACAGACATATTGTCATGACAATAATTGGAGGCAGCAGGAGATATGCCATGCTGACTGATACATTATTTGAAAAATAAAGAAAAAATCCCTCTCTGATGAGCACTTCTTCATGCTCTGCCTGAGCGAGGCTTCGAGTTGGGGTGCGAGAGCAGCAGTAGAGAAGTGGAGCAGGAGGGAGTGCTGTGGCTCCATTGCAGAGCTACCTGCACTGGGGAGGGTTTGAAATTTAACATACTGGGGACATTCAAGGAGTATGGGGAAAGTTGTAGTGCAGGGAAAGTGCTTGATAGTGGCAGCCGCAGGTTCATATTTTGTTCTGTCAAGTCTTGACTTTTGAGGTCAGCAACAAACATGGAGCTCCCAGCTGTCAGAAGTATCTCACTCTGGTTTATGGGGGAGGTTTGCTCTAGTTGCCCTGTAGGGCCAGTTTAATTTTGGGTGTTCTTCCACTGTAGTCAACAGGGATCACTGTGGCTTGAAACGCAAACATGTTGGTGTGTTTGTGGGATTCCACTCTTGTACTGGAAATGGCCAGGCTATTTCTGCGTGGGTACCCTGTCTCTGGTAGGGAGTGCTCAGCCGTGAACCTGCTCCTTGCCGGGGGGCGTCCATTCCTGAGAGGAAAAGCACTCCTGACCCTGTGAGGAGAATTGCTGCTGGTTGGTTCTGCTCTTAGGAAGGCAGTGTTAATCCTTTTTGTATCACAGAGTGCAATTATTTTATTCCTCTCCCTTCTTACATGGCATCCGTTGCTGGCAACGGACACACAAAAACACTGGTGGCGAGGAGTTAATCAAATCTGCCCTGGGGTATGCAATGTCTCCCGAAGCACCCAGAATACTTAGGTGGGTATTTGGAGTTCCCTTTTTATAGTTCATTCAATTAAAAGAGAACAAACATTGAACAGACTTCTTTTTTTTTTTTTCATGCTGTGATGCCAGTATTATGAAATCAGAGGAACAGTATGTAGTTTATCAGCCTTGAAGGTCTTGGGTGTGTAGACCCAGGCAAAACAGTCACCTGACACTGTACATAGAGGAGAAAAAAAAAAAAAAAGGTAAGAGTTGTACGTGGGATCATGTAGATGAGCTCTGCTGGACCAGAACAAGAATTGCAAGGTGTAGGTGAGAGTTGGGGTCTCCCCATTTTGGCCCTGGTTCTGTCAGGGTCATTAAATGCTCTGTCTAAAGCTGGGCGGTCCTCTCACAGCATAGCTTAAGTGTGGTGTCGTGCTGCCTCCTACACCACCCCTGCATTGTCTGAAACCCTCAGCTTCATAGAAACATCCTCAGATTCTCTGCTTTCTCCTTAGCTGTTACAAAACTCTTTAAAAAGGTTAAAAGGAGTTAGCAACGTGGTTTAGTGACTCCCGGCTGTAGCTGGGACGGGGGGAGGAGTGGCTGTTCGCAGAGCTAACCTGGTGCACGGTCAGAGTCGTGTGTCTCGACTTTAGAAGCTCCCTGCTAAATGACACTGGTTTTGCTCAGTGATGTAGTATTTAGATGTTCAAACTATAGAGAGGTTTCCCAGCAGCATCTAGGATCTTATTCCATTACCCTTATTGCCTGTGCCATTGTAACAGCTACTGTAGTCTGCTTTCCGCTGATGTCTGACATGTACCACCCAGCTACTGCATCCTCACAGAATGGTAATTTACACCCAGAAGTGCACTTTACTTGCAGCTTGCACACCAGAAACAGAAAGGGACCCGGCAAATTCTTAAATCAATTACAAGAATTCTGCATAATACCATGTATCTAATGCAGCGGGATTAGCCAGACTTCTCCTTTCTGAGCAACGTGGCTACAGTCAGAGCTTTGTCTCTTCTGCAAAATCTCCCTTTTTAATACATGTGATGCTTCTTATAACGTCTTACAGAAGTGCCCAGTGCACGTTACCGGGGTCTCAGTGGCAGCTCAGCAAGAGCTCGGGAGCTGGACTAAAGTTGCAGAGACATTTACATTAAGAAGAAAAAAAAAACAAACGCACAAGGCCTAACATTTGTTTGTACGTGTATCTTCCTCAGTAGATTAAAGTTGCCTGTTTTGAGTTCACCAGCAATAAAAAACCCTTGTGATTTATCTACCTTGTCCTAACTACAGCAAAGAGAGAGTGGCCCATTGCTGCTTTTCTTTTCTGGGGCGTGTGTGTGTGTGTGTGGTGGGATATGGACTCCGATTACCCCGAGGCTCCAGTTTTGCCTCCCTTCTCTTGCTCATCTTTTGTGTGGTCTGCCCTAAAGGATCTCAAAGTACATGATGAAACATGGAGACTGGTGTCCTGTGTGCAAGAGGCAGTTCAAGCGTTACTCTGACGTCTGTTCTTACTCCAAAGATCTTGCCAGGGGGAGATGGTTGATTTGCAGCAGGACCAGACTGCCTTTTGGTCTTTGGTGTTATAACTGAGAGAAATGTGTACATATGTACCAGGTACTATTGCACCTTTCGTCTGACTGCATTTTGTAATTAAAGCAGAATAACCCCATCAAGGTTTTGCTTGACTAGTCCTGTGACTATAAAAGATAAAAATAGACTGCAGGGCTCTTAACTGCTTTGAAAATTAGGAAGCAGGTGACTGAAGTCTTCCCGAGTTCAATAGCATTGCTCTGCTGCTGACTGTTTTTCTGAAACCTGCACAGAAGGCAAGGGACTTCTTCGTTCATGGGAACTTCTGCCCTTTCTGTACTATGAGTAAAACATGAGCCACCACTAAGATGTGAACTGAAACCAAATGTTTTTCTGGTTTTGTTTATCCTGAGCTCTGAATACTTGCCATATGCCCTGTATTCAAGGGGGAGGATTGCAGGCCCAAGTTCTTTACTTCAGTTCTGCCTGCAGACAGCACATCAGCAGCTGCCAAGTCCCTCTGCAATCCATTCCCTGTTGTAGAAGGAAATCTCTCTTCTGGTGCAGCCCCTGCTAAACCAGAAGCAGTTCCCTCTGTGAGCTCCCTTGCTGAGCTGCTTTGGCACCTAATGACCAGGTAGGGTCATAGAGCTGGTGAGATCTCAGGAGCGTTTTCCGTGTTTGGTAAATAGCCTCCACTTGTGCCTGTTTTCCCTTATTCCCCTCGGAGTGTCCTGAGCCAGCCCCTGGGGAAGGGACCTTCCCTTCCTTCTGCCTCCCACCCCAGGGAATGGAGCAGCTCTGCTGCCTCCCTGGGGGCCTCGGCACCTCTCAAGGTTTTAAGCTAACAGAGGTTGGTCTCCGCTTGGGCAGGGGACGTTTGATTTTAAGAGCTGTAAGGGTCTGGGCTTCAGGTTTGTTACTAGCAAGTCATCCACAGGCATGATAGTGAATTTGTACCATGTGGAATGGCTTATTTCTTCTAGGACGGCAAGGGTTTACTCCATCAAGTGTTTGGCCACTTGGTTCACTGCTTTGTGAACAAGAGGGAAGTTACAGAAACAGGTGTTTCCCCCCATACCTGCTCTGCTTTTGGCCCCTGGGCAGCTAGCACAGATGCCAAAGGAAAAAGTGCTGTCTTGACAGAAGTCCTAGGGAGGGGCTGGGGATAGAATTATAGAATCATTAAGGTTGGAAAAAACCTCCAAGATCATTGAGTCCAACTGTCAACCCAACACCGCCATGCCTACTAAGCCATGTCCTGAAGTGCCACGTCTACATGTTTTTTGAACACCTCCAGGGAGGGTGACTCCACCACCTCTCTGGGCAGCCCGTTCCAATGCTTGACCATTCTTTCAGTAAAGAGATTTCTCCTAATATCCAACTGAAACCTCCCCTGGCACAGCTTGAGGCCATTTCCTCTCATCCTATCACTTGTTACTTGGGAGAAGAGACGAACACGCTCCTCATAAGACTTGTGCTCCAGACCCCTCACCAGCTTTGTTGTCCTCTGGACACGCTCCAGCCCCTCAATGTCTTTATT